CCATCATTGTGTCTGGTGGGTCTGCGCACAGCAGGCCATACGCCACCACTTGACAGTGATCGCGGGGTGGCCGCGCATGATCCAGATTTAGCCGTGAGGTGCATGTTGCATTGTGTTTGTCAGGGATGGTAGCCCTGCACGCAGCAGGCAATATGCTGACACCCCCGCCGTCTCTCTCTGTCAAGAAACAATACAAAGTGCTCGCGGGCCTCGCGAGCATGACTCCAAACTTTGCCCCGAAAGGTACTGTGTATTTTTTCACAGGGAGAGTGGTGGAGGAGCCCTCATGTGCTCCTCATTGTTCATGGTTGGCTGCAGGTCGCCTGGGGGAGGGGGTGTACCTGAATAGGGGACAGTAACAGGGGGGGGTCCAGGGTCAGATAACAGTCCTGGCGGTCCTCCCTCTCCATCCCCAGTCCCCCCTGTGGACAGGAAGCACGGGGGGGAGGGCCCCTGCAGGGGGGTGTCCTGGAGGGGGGTCCCGGGGGATGTCCCGTCAGTGGTGGGCGAGGGTGGTCACGGGTAAGAAGAATACCGCTCCCCCGGGGTCCAGACGGGTCCCGGCGGGGACACCAGCGGGGGTCCCTTGGGAGGTCCCGCCTTCAGGGTCGGCGGCACAAGCCGCAAGGCCTTCACAATATTTACATACGTGCATGCATACGTATATATATATATATACACAATAAATATATAATGCCTATACAACCACCCTTCGGTTGATAAGGATGTTGTGGGGAGGGGGAGTTCAGCTTTCAGTGCGCGATTGGGGTCGGATCGGATTGGGCGAACACCAAATGGGAACCACGGAGCACCACCGATGGTGTCCCGATGGCGTCAGTGATAACCATCGGAACATCATCGGGGCGACCAGCAGAAACAGGTGGCGTGTGTGTACTCGCGCCCTCTTTCTTTCAGAAGGTACTACGAAATACGGGGCAATGTGCTTGTCCATGTAATTATCGATCGGGGCATCCAACCGGAATCAACGGGGCAACCTGCAGCCTAGGTGGCACTTACTTGCCCGCTACCTCTTTTCTTCCAGACGTACTGCGAACGTGCATAGCAACATGTTTGCCCATCTATCTCTTTACCTGGGCATCAATCATAAAGCATCGGGGCAACCAGCGAAAACAGGTGGCCTTGGTTTGCCCGCGCACTCTATCCTTCAGAAGAACATACTCGGAACAAACAAAAACACGGGTCACTGCGAGACACCACGGACAACCACGGGACACCACTATCGATCTCACGACCGATCTCACTATCGATCTCGCTATCTATCGATCAAACGATCGGCCACGCGATCGATCTCACAATCGATGGCCCGATATCTGTGGATATCACTATCTAACGATCTCACTTCCGGTATCACCATGGATTTCACTATCAATCTGACCACCGACTTGCTCGATCGATCTCACGATCAACCTCACTATCTACGGATCGATCTTACCATCGATATCGCACTCGACCCCACGATCGATCTCACTATCGATCTCGCAACCTCGCACCCGAACTCACCACGAGACACCAAAGCATCGGGGCAACCAGCGGAAGCAGGTGGCACGTACTTGCCTGCGCGCCCTCGCCGTCTGGAAGAGGACACGAAGAACATATAAAACCATGCGACACCACGAGACACCACGGGACACCACTACCGATCTATCGCACGACCGATCTCATTATCTATCGATGCCCCACCCCTCCAGCCTGCGATGCATCGACCTCATTGCCAGACTCACGATCGACCCCACTATCTACCTAGAAGTATCCCCATGAATGGATCTCACCATCGAAACGCCACCCTGTGGCGCGCAAGATGATCCAAAGCTGGGGATGACGATAGGGGTGATGGTGATGAAGATGGTGTGGATGCTGATCGTGACGCTACTGGCAATGATGGTTAGGATGGTTACGATCCTGCTGATCGACTTTGCGGTACCGCAATCGGCATGGTCAAGGTGTCCTACTCTGAAACAGAACTTGCCAACCTTCTAGGAGCGGCAATGAGGCCAGGCCGCTCACGGAGACGCGTGCGAGAGCCACGCTCAGAGTGTGAGAGCTGAGGCCACGAGTGCGATGCCAGAGCCTGGCATCCTGGCGTTACCACTCGCCTGTTCTAGCTACTCATCTACCTATCGATATCACTAACGGCCTCCCTCTGTCTATCGATCTCGCGATCGATCGATCTCAAAGTCGATCTCAATACGACTTGCCGATCGATCAAACTATCGATCTCACAGCCAAGCTCACAAGACACCGCGAGACACAACGGGACACCGCGCCGCGGGATAACACGGGACACCATGTGACACTACGAGACACCACGGGACACCTGCGGGACATCCCCGAGACACCGCCGGCCAACCGGGGGAGGGGAATCATTAAGCCCAGTTTCGCCCGAGCAACGGCGGGTTCATTCTTCTCCCCCGCCCACGCAGCTTCGCCTCGCCTGACGCACGACACGAACACGAAACCGAAACCGATTTCCAGGTGGGGGGCTCTCCGTTTCACTGCGATCTCAACCCCCCAACCTCCGATAAATATATTGTACACCTCTACGACCACCCTTCAGGTAATAAGGAGTTTGTTGGGGGGGTCAACTTTCGGTGTGCGATTGTGGTCGGATCGGATTCGGCGAAAACCAGTTGGGAACCACGGAGCACGACCGTTGGTGTCCCAATGGCGTCCTTGATAACCATCGGGACATTATCGGGGCCACCAGCGGAAACTGGTGGCAATGATCTACCCGTGCCCTCTTTCTTATGGAGCGTACAGCGATCATACAGGGCAATGTGCTTGTCAATATATTGATCGGTCGGGGCATCAAAAGGGAATCATCGGGACAACCAGCGAAAGTAGGCGGCATTTATTTGCCCGCTCCCTCTTTTCTTCCAAACGCACTGCGAACGTAAGGGGCAAGATGCTTGCCCAGCTGACAATTCATCGGGGTATCAATCAAAAAGCATCTGGCAACCAGCGGAACCAGGTGGCATTGATTTGCCCGCGCGCTCTTTCCTTCAGAAGACCATACCCAAAACATACAAGACCACATGGCACCGCGGGACACCACGGGACAGCACGGGACACCACTATCGATCTCACTATCGATCTCGCGATCGATCGATATCACTATCGATTCCACTATCGATATCACGATCGATCTTCCTCTATATGTCGGTATCAGGGTCTATCGATCTCAGTATCGATCTCACGATCGATTCCACTGTAGACATCAGTACCGATCTCAAAATCGACCTTCGATCGATCTTACGATCGATCTCACCCTCTATCTATGCATCGATGTACCTGTCGATCGCACGATCGATCTCGCATTCGACCCCACCATCGATCACTATCGAACTCGCACTCGAACTTACGACACACACCAACATCGGGGCAACAAGCGAAACTAGGTAGCAGGTCTTTGCGCGGGCGCTGACCTTTAGAGGAACATAAGACAAACATACAAGACCACGGGACACCACGACCGATATCAAGATGGATCTCATTATCTTTCGATGTCCCATCCCTCCCCCTGCCTCCGATCTATCGACCTCGTTATCGGACTCACGCTTGACCCCACAACACATCTACCTAGCAATCTCTCCATGAATCGATCTCACCATCGACATACCACCCTGTGGCGCACCAGATAGTCGAAAGCCTTTAACTGCCGTGCGATGATGGTGATGGCGATAGGAGTGATGGTGATGACGATCGTGTTGATGCTGATTGTGACGCTACTGGCGATGATGGTTATGATGACTATGACCCTGATAACCGATTTCGCGGTACAGCAATCGATGTGGTCATTGCGCCTTGCTCTGAACCAGGACTTGCCAACCTTCTGGGAGCGGCAGCGCGGCCAGGCCGCTCACAGAGAACCGTGGGAGACGCGTGCGAGAGCCATGCCCACAGAGTGCGGGTGCTCAGGCCACAAGTGCGCTGGCAGAGCCTGGCGCTACCACTAACGATCTCCCTCTGTCTGCCGATCTCACGGTCGATCGATCTCACAGTCGACCTCAGAATCAGTCCCCCTATCGATTTCTGTCTGTCGATCTCACTACTGATCTCACGGTCGATCTCAAAACTGACCTCACAGAACACCACGGGACACCACGGGACACCACGGGAGGGAACACCACGGGCAGACCACGGGACACCACGGGACACGGGCGGGAAACCCCTGGGCCAACGCCAGCCAGCCGGGGAGGGGAGTGCTTGGACACGGCTCCGCCCCAGCATCGGCGGGTGCCTTCCTCTCGCCCGCCCGCGCGGCTTCGCCCCTCGCCGGCACGGCACGAGCACGAGCACGAGAGCGAAGCCGATTTTTCCCGGCGGGGGAGCTCTCCGTGTCACTACGATCTCACTGAAGGGGCCCTGGGACGCACAAATAAATGCACACAAATAAAAGGATTCCCTATCTTTTCTCATATCTTCGGGGCTTTGTCTTCCCCCCCACTTCCCACATTTTCCCATATTTTCTGGGGGATCGGCGATTAATAGTGTCTGTGTGTTTTTTCCCCTCCTGACTCACCCCCCAACCTCTGATGTACATGGAGGGCGATGTGAAGGAAGGAGGGTGCGAGAAAGGGGACGGGAGAGAACGATGGATGAGGACACGACTCCGTTCAGGCCTACCATCATCAAGAGGATCGTATCACACAGCCTCTCCAAACTCGGGAGCGGCCAAGAGGGGGGTGTCCAAGAGGGGGGGGTGCAAATCATGACCGGCGGCATGTGCGCGGCCCAGCGGGGGGGCCAGGGACGTGATGAAATGAGAAGAGGCGCCATGAAATTTGGTGAATATCATGGCCCACGCCATGATATCCCCCCCCCTAGTCATCGGCCTGACCTAAGGAACTGTAAATAACGCATGGAAACCTAAGGAACGACCAAGCCCCTTTTGAAAAGTAAGTGTTCCTTATTCAAGCCGCACACTGTAGTCATCACGCCTCTCTTTGCCGCCCCCGACAAGCACCACCTGAGCCCGGCGCCGGGCAGGGCGCCTGCACTGCGGCGACATCGGGCCAGTAACGGAGCTTCTGGCGTGATGCACCTGGCAGCCGCAGCACGCGGTATAAGTACCGTCGGGGCGTTGACCTAAGGAAAGCCTGAGGCAAGCTGTGAAACACTTAAGGAACGCGGAGCCCCTCCCCAACGAAAAAGGTTCCTTCTTCAGGGCCCCGACTGTATCAACAGCGATGGCGGTAGAAGCAACAGCGGCGACTGCAGCGGTGGCGGATACGGAAACGACGGCAAAATTGGCGCACGAACGACCAAGCCGACGGCAGCCACGAAGACGGGGAGGGCAAACCATACGCACACGACAAGCACAGCGAACAACGAAAGCAGCGCAGCGCGCAGCCAGAAACATCGACCCGCAATCTCATTCGCGTAATCCACCGCCATGCCCCCTGGCAGGCTTCGAAAACACTTGATCTGTATCCCATGGCTTCGTGATGTTGTAACAGCGGCCTCACCATACCAGCGTGACACTGCGGAAAGATGCCCCCACTCCCCACCCCACACGTTACCAGAGTCTTCCCGCGCGGTTCTCGATCTCGAGACCAGCCAAGAAGCCCCAAACGACCCAAGAACGTCAACAGACGGCTCCAATACCTCTCCAGTGTTTCAATGTCCTACGTCTTCAACGCTGCCTGCCTGTCATCCTTCCTCGCCCTAGCAACTCCAAGGAGCCCAAAACAAACCTCCGAGACGAACCCCAAACGATTCCTAAGAGGTCCCAGGCGGGAATTCGAGACGGCAACGATGCTGCACAGTGCCAACCTGGGAGAGCCACGGCACCGTCCAGAATATCCGCGGAAGGCGCCCAGAAGCAATACTGACCCAGGACGGCCACGAAACGCCAAACGGCAGACGGCCCTGGGGCGTTCCAGGCGTCATAAAGACGGTGTCGCGACTTCTCTTCGGGAGGGCGTGCAAGAACCATGGCGTCCAGGACGGCGCAGGAGCGCACACGGGGGTTAAGCAGGCAGCCGCGGAAAACCATGGTGGAACCACCGTGAATGGTAGAACCATCTTGGAACCACCTCGATGCTGCGCTGGCAGAATGTCAGGACTTGAGGCTGCCGTGTACCAAATTGACCAGATGTGCGGCGATTGAAGGACGTCACGCTCCCCCCCCCCTGCGTTTCTGTACAATGCGCCAGCCCGCTGGGGGGGCGGGATGAAGGTGCCCTGAGCGGGACAGCAGAAGATGGAAGGGGCAGCGAGAGGATGTTTGGGAGGTTGTTTTTTTTTTCTCGCATCATCCACATGTTTCGATGCTGTTCCTTCTAGCTCGCGCGCGCGCGCCGCTCCCACCAGGAGCTAAGCGAAAAGAGGTCGCGAAGCCGATCCGCAACCCCAATCGAGAGGGTGAAGGCCGATGCTGCAGCATGCACGTGCATAGGGGGAAAAGGGGGTCCCGGGGGAAACGGGTCCTGGACCCTGAGGAGCCTCCCCCCGGGACGAGATCTCCATCCCGAGTCGTTGTCCGACAGTCCCCATGCCCGTGGAGGGCCCCGAGGGCACGAAAATGGCGAACAACCTCAGGGCCCGCTTCCCTCAGAACCCGCTTCCCCCTCGGCGAACGCAGCGCTAGCGTTGGGTCGGGCATGGCCCCCCTAGAGGCGGACCTGGGAGGAAAACTAATCAAAAAGTCGCCCCCTTACTAGTTCTGACTATTTTTGAATATTCCTCCTGTAGAGGGACACGCCCGACTTAACGCTAGCGGAGCTATCTTGCAGGTTCCAGAAACCCGCGACCGAGGGGGGGAGCGCTTCCTAGGCGGGCGCCTCTGAGGCGGCGGCGGCCCCCTCGTCGGTGTCGCCCGCCGCAGCTGCAGGAGGAGGAGGAGGAGGGGGAAGAGGAGGCAGAGGAGGAAAAGGAGCAAGAACTGTCACTGCGCCGGCCTTGCAGACATTCTGCAGCGGATTTTTGCATGGATTTCTGCCCATGCAAAGCCCCGAAACGGCGAGTGCAAAACGAAGTGAATTTCGCGTGGGTTTTGTTGAGCCTTCATTCCTGGCCAAAAAAACAGCACGAAATTCACCTCGAAATCCAGAACGAAATTCTCCAGGACACTCCAGGCCCATCCTAGCGTTTTCCGACCGAAATCCGCTCTGCGATGTTGGCGCCATGAGAACTGGAGTTTGAGCAGGCTGGACCGGTTGAGGCACGAGTAATCCCACCAGCCCTCACGCCTCTTGGGGCGCATATTTGGCTTCCGCCGCCTCCTTCCGCCAGCCTTCCGCCGGCTTCCGCTAGCGGAGGCGGCCTCGTTTTATTTCCGCCACTTTGGACGCCCGAAATGGGTACGGAAAAAATGGGTACAATGCCCAACAACAAATGCTGTCCCAAGCCACCAGCGGCCGCTGTTGGGCAGGCGGCCTGCTGTCTCGAATGGACACTGGCCGCGGCGGCGTGGACAGCGAATCCTGCTCGAAACGACCAGGAACGGCCGTTGGGCACTGTACCCATTCTTCCCGTACTTATTCTGGGCGTCCACAGCCGCCCTCCGCCGCCCTTCCGCCGCCCTCCGCAGCTCCTTCCGCCATCGACGGGGATGGACAGACCTCCCTTTAGTAAAGCGTGGTTTAGCGAAAACGACCTGAGGCCCAAACCTGGCGGGCGCAAGCCTGGAAAATGACGGTCGCGGCGCCCTCTCGAGAACCGAAAACGAGCAATTCACTAATCGACGTGTCACTGTTGGGGGTTCTGTCCGCCCCCGAGGCAGTGGACCTTCCTGCAGCGCCCCAGCTGGAGAGGGGGGCCGGCCCGCACGCGCGCGGGCGCTGCGGGCGGGCCGCGCCGCGCGGCCCCGGCCGCCGGAGGCCCGAGGGCGGAGGACACGAGAGAGATGAAAGGCGTCGAGGAGGAGGCGTCCTCCTCCTCTTCCTCCTCCTCCTCCTCCTCCTCCTCCTCCTCCTCCTCCCTCCTCCTCCTCCTCCCCTCCCCCTCCTCTCCTCCCCCTCCCCTCCTCCTCCTCTCCTCCCCTCCTCCTCCTCCCCCTCCCCCTCTCCTCCCCCTCGTCCTCCCCCTCCCCTCGTCCTGCCCGCCCCACCCTTGGATGCCGAGTGGGCCCGCTCGCGCCCGGGGCTCCGGGTCTCCCCCGGGTCGGCCCGCGGGGCCCCCCGGCCCTGGGCCGCGCCAGGGCCCTCGAGGGAGCAGGCACGTGCCACTCCGAGATCCGCCGATCCGGCGTGTGAGGATGGAGGAGGATGGAGGAGGATGGAGGAGGATGGAGGAGGATGGAGGATGGAGGATGGAGGATGGAGGAGGAGGATGGAGGATGGAGGATGGAGGAGGAGGAGGAGGAGGAGGAGGAGGAGAGGAGGAGGAGGAGGAGGAGGAGGAGGAGGAGGAGGAGGAGGAGGAGGAGGAGAAGAAGGAGGAGGAGGGAGGAGGATGGAGGAGGATGGGGAGCGTGGACTTGAGCTCGATCAAGCTTCGCTCTGCAGGGGGGGGGTGCGTACGCTAGTTCCGACGTCATCTCCGACGCTTCTCGGTACCCGGGGACAAGGGGGTCTAGAAAACTCCAGTTCCGGAGCCCAGACCGCCCCCCGGATCGGCGGCACTGGCCGGATGCCAGCCCAAACAAGGGCTCCCAACTTCGCGCTCTCGCGCTCCGCGGAGCGCGACGCGCGAATGACTTCGCGCTCTCGCGCCGCCCCCCCCCAAAAGGGAGAAGAGGAGGACGAGGAGGAGGGGGAGAAGGAACGAGGACCGCGAAGCGCGAAGCGCGGACAACTTCGCGCCCTCGAGGGCGCCCTTGAGAAAGTAGGGGTGGTCTGGTCTGGGCGGGGGGAGGGTCTGACTTGGGAGTGTCTTGGAGAGCTGGGGGGGGTCTGGCGAAGAGGTCCGGGTGGGTCTCCCGACGGGGGGGTCAGAAACGGCGCGCCTGGAGGGCATCAGACCTCACGACTTCACTCCGGAATTGGAGGCATCCATACCGCTATAGCCTTCTCCCGGTTTCCCCTTTGGGGGCATCCTGGGAGGCCCTCGTCGCCACCGCTGGACTCACCTCGAAAGCCTGGTCAGAACACACCCTTGGAGAGGTCTGGGGAGTAGCGGCATCGGTACCTCTTGGTTTGCCCTAGAACTAGATCAAGACGGCGCGAAGAGGAACCCAAGACGGCCCCAGGGCTGGATCACGACGGCCCCGAAGCCCCTGCCCTCCAAGGCGGCCCCAAGACTCCCAAGAAAGTCTTACAGCTCCCCGAGACGGCACCAAGACTCCCAAGGTGGCCTGACGCCGCCTGGCCCACGCCCGGGTCCCGGTATTCGGGAGGCCACGAGATGCAGAGGCAACTGAAACTAGCAGTCCGCGATAAGGACATGCCCGTTCGGCTGCGTACATCCCCCCAACCCTCCTCACCCTCGCTCCCCTCCCACTCCTTTCCTTTCTCCTCCTCCTCTTCCTCCTCCTCTTCCTCCTCCTCTGCCTCCTCCTCTTCCTCCTCCTCCTCCTCCTCCTCCTCCTCCTACACACTGTCTCCCTCATCCTCATCCTCCTCCGCCTCCTCCTCATCATCAGCAGCATCAGCATCAGCAGCATCGGCATCAGCATACTAATCATCATAAGCATCATCATCATCAGCAGCATCAGCATCATCATCAACCTCATCACCATCATCAGCATCATCATCAGCATCAGCATCGTCATCATCACCATCATCATCAGCAGCAGCATCATAATCATCAGCATCATCATCATCATCAGCATCAGTATCAGCATCATCATAATCGTCGCCAGCACCACCATCATCATCAACAACAAACAACGGCAACAACATCATCAGCATAGTCATCATCATCGTCATCACCAGCATCTATATTACCAGCATCATCATCACAATTGACAGCATCAGCACCCTTCTCATCGTCGTTGTCGTCGTTATCATCATCACCCGCATCATCACCACCACCACCACCACCTTTCTCATCATGTTCAACCTCATATTCATCACCCGCAGCAACAACCGAATCATCAGTAGCATCATCATCAGCATCAGCATCATCATCTGCACCATCATCATCATCATCATCATCATC